TGTGTGTGTGTGTGTGTGTGTGTGTGTGTTCACTAAAAACAAGGCTCAAAATGACCTTCTGTCCACAGCTGCTAATGGCGACTGAATTTTGAAAATTTATCAAGCATATATATTTCTAACCGACCATGAATCTACATTTTGCATATTATTTCTTTTTAATTAAATGTATAGAATTTTTACTTAATATTAGTGTTAGTGCATATACAATACTGTGTGAAAGTTTAGGGGTTGGTAAGAACACTTTAGTATAGGGAACATTTCTCACTATTAACTAGTTGCTTATTAGCATGCCTATTAATAACATATTGGCTGTTTATTAGTATTTATAAAGCACATATTCTGCATGACTATTAATAACTATTAACAACTATTAATAAGCAGCAAATTAGTAGTTTGAGGCAAAAGTCATAGTTAATGTTTTGTTAATAGCGAGAATTGGACCTTAAAATAAAGTGTGACTGATTATTATTTAATCAAATATAGCAAAAACAGTAATATTACGAAATATGATTACAATTTAAAATGACTGTTTTCTATTTTAATACTTTTTTAATGTAATTTATTCCTGTGATGCTAAAGCTGAATTTTCATCAGTCTTCAGTGTCACATGATCCTTTAGAAATCATTCTCATATGCTGATTTGCTGCTCAAGAAACATTTCTTATTATCAACTTTGAAAACAGCTGTGCTGCCTAATATTTTTGTGGAAACTGTGATATTTTTTTGTCAGGTTTCTTTGATGAATAGTAAGTTCAAAAGAACAGCATTTATATGAATTAGAAATATTTTGTTACATTGTACATATAATCCTTGCAGAAAGTTTTTTCTTTAAAAAACAAACACACACACACACACACACAATTACTGATCACAAACTTTTTAACTGTAGTGTACATGTCTTCATCTGTCTGTTAAAAAAGTTTACATTAGCTAAGTTCAAACATCATTGTTACAGTGTACATCTGTGACAATTTGAGCCAAAATTAGACAGAACCAGACAAAAAAGGTAAAGATTAAAATAATAATAATAAATACAACTTTCTTAAATCCTTAAACTAGAATTGAGGCGGCCATTGAGGCATCAAAATATAGTAAACAGATGAGAGATTTCCACTGTCATCCAGCAGGAGGTGCTATAGAACACGACAATACTTACTCCTAAACCCACTATATTACACCACACAATCTATCTAAAGAGAGTGTGTATTAAATACTCAGACAAAATCAGGTGTGAGTCCCAACTAAGATGTCTGGCTGTCTGAATGCTGAGCTCCTCTTGAGAAAAAAAACAAAACAGAATCTGTTATTTATATTAGTCGCCACAATCTGCTGATCATCTAAATGCCCTGCAGTCATTTCCATGTCCGCTCATGCACGCATTAAAGTGGGCTCAAGTGTGCGTGTGTATGTCTGAGGCTATGCAGAAGGAAAAGAGTTTGTTTTCCTCCACGGGGAGAGCTGCATTCTAGAGCCGCACTTGGTGACAGATCCTGTCAGCATACTCACGCTTAGTGCATCTGAGTGTGTCTGTGTGTGTTACCCAGACACAGAGAGATGAAATGTTAGGGTTTGTAGTGCAAATCCCTTTTTACTTAGTCTGTTAATATTATGATATGACAAGGGATTTCCTCTAAAACTGTGAATCCCAGTTTAGGTGTATTTAAAGCAGCACTATGTAACTTTTGGCGCTCTAGCGGTTAATAAACAGAACTGCACACATCCCGTGGAAGAACATTCCAACCAGAGCTACTTCTCTAAGTTCGCTCAACTTCGAACTGCGTCCTCTAGGGGTCCTCTAAGATCTCGCTCTCCGTGCTACTAAGCAGGCCGCCTCTGCTATGGGCAGATCCATGGCGGCTATGGTAGTGACGGAGAGACATCTATGGGTGAACCTGGCAGATATCGGGAAGAAAGAGAGGGGTTTTCTTCTCGATGCTCCAGTTTCGCCTTCCGAACTTTTTGGTACCTCCGTTGAGACGGTGGTCGAGAAGTTCAGGGAGGCGAAGGCGCGCTCAGCAGCCTTCAAATCCTTCATTCCACGAAGGTCCAGGTCTGAGCCTGAACAACCCAGGGGTCCTGGCCCGTCTCAGTTTGAGGATCAGAGACGGGCACAGAAGGCTAGCGTCGCGGCTCACGCTCCTCCCCCGCCTGCAGGTAGGGGTAGGAGGAATCGTGGGTCAAAGGGAGGTAGGCAAGACCTAAGGGATGTGATCCAGACAAGGAGTCAGCGCTTTCGTCCGGATCAGAGTGATAGTCAGCATGCCAATTGCACGCTCCCTCAAAACTTGCGACATCTGTAAAATCCACACAGTGGTAAGTGCACACGTTAAGCTTTGCGCACTTTCTAAAATCCACATAGTGGTAAGTGTGCACGTTATGCTTTGCGTGCTTTCTAAAATCCACATAGTGGTAAGTGTGCACGTTATGCTTTGCCCACTTTTCTGAAATCCTGTATGGTAAGGGTTACGCGTTATTGACCTCGTTCCCTTTGCTTTCTTTCGAGCGTTTTAATTCTCTCCCTTCTGAGGAGTTGAATTCGTCGCTCCGTGGGCTGTTCTAGTGGTAGTGTTGAGCAGTGCTCCCCTTTTATCAAAGGGTTACCTATGAGCACGCTACTCCTTCTGAATTCGGAATTCTCCTCTCACGTGAGTTGAGTTCTCTGTTTTTCCCAGAGCACCTGGTATCAGCAGCAAGGTAAATTACTGCTAGCCGTTCCAACATTGGAACATGCTTTAGGTCGAGCCCCCCTCTCGATTGAGAGCTGGGTGTTGTGCTCCCTCAGCTAAGGTAAATTACTGCTAGCCGTTCCAGCATTGGAACATGCTGCAGGTCGAGCCCCCCTCTCGATTGAGAACTGGGGAGTTGATGACTTCTCAAACATAGTGTTTTGGGATGCACCATTTCCATCTATGGGCTGCTCTTTTAGAGTACCACGAGGGCCCCTTAGAACGTTTTTTTTTTTAATCCATGTTATGGTGTCACGTAAGTCTTTGTACACTTTCTAAAATCCACACTGTGGTAAGTTCGTACGTTAGTACCCTGCGTTCTTTTCTAAAATCCTGTATGGTAAGAGCTACGCGTGGCAGCCTCGTGCTCTTTCTTGAGTGGTTTAAAACCCCGGTTCCGCCTTGGGCACCACTCCACCTAT